TTTATACTAATCATGACTTCTACTTATTAAAACACACACTTGCTCTAAGACATTATAGTTTATATTTGAAAGCCAATTCTCTAGTCTCTGGTGAGTGGGGGGCAAAGACTAAATATTGTGAAAGTGGGATTACTTGCTCCTTGCGGATAGAATTAGAGTCTGTAATATAGTTTACTAAAAGGAGTGTTTATTAAGCTCCAATATTGTATTAGACACTGTGTTAAGCATTAATTTTCAAAGATAACCAAGGTTGATCCCCTTCCTCAATGTAGAAAACAGATTATCTCTATACTCTGCAGCATATTCAATGACAAAGATTCCACAGGATTCAGTGGAACCACACAGAAAGACAGGGGGTTCGTGGTAGAATACAAATAGATACCTCAAAGTGTCTTGATACTAGAGTAGAAGTGTAAGAGACAAAGACACATTATCACAACACATTAGCGTGGAGGGCAGAGGAGTCTGGGTGTCCAAAAGTAAATTACTGAGAGGCAAATGTAAGCAGATAAAAGGAAGGTGCAATGTTGCATGAACTGTGTAAGATTATAATAAGCCAGTAGCAGTCATTAGTCGATTTAGAGCCTTTTGATGAAAAGAATGGTCTCTCTAGAGCAGGTGTCCCCAAACTTTTTACACAGGGGGCCAGTTCTCTGTCCCTCAGACCGTTGGAGGGCCGCCACATACTGTGCTCCTCTCACTGACCACCAATGAAAGAGGTGCCCCTTCCTGAAGTGCGGTGGGGAGGGGGACAGATAAATGGCCTCAGGGGGCCGCATGTGGCCCTCGGGCCGTAGTTTGGGGACGCCTGCTCTAGAGCTAGACTACTGGGTTCTAACCTCAGCTCTATTCCTACTAGTTTGTAACTGTGTCAAGTTAGTTAACCCTGTCGTCCTTCAGTTTGCTCTTTTATAAAATGAGAATGAGGATAATAATAAACTTATGCCATAAGGGTACGATCAAGATTAAATATTCAAAATAGCTATAAAGGCAACTGCCATGTAGTAAGCACTCAATAAAAGTTACTATCATTATTTTTAAACTAGAAGATGAAGAGAACCAATGGGCAAGGAAGCCGATTTTAGCACCACATTCAAAAATCAATCCTGAAAACTAACTCTTCCCAGCCCTAACCTGGTGTCGCAAATGACAAGAGAATTTATCAGGGCCAACAATGTGGATGTATTTGCAAAATTCTGTCACCACATACGCATCTGACAGTAGCTCAGGAGCACCAAGTTCGCTTACGGAGCGTGTCCATTTATTCTCTGATTTTGGAGGTAACAGCTTTTGTGTTCCTTGCATCTATAGTGATTGGCACATTGCCAATCAAAAGTAACTGAGTTGAGGACATTGTGTTTCAAATTTACAAAGCAATACAAACTCCCTGTTAAAAGACAAATCCTTCATTTCAAATTGTTGACTCAGAAAATCCTTAAAAAAGAATTCCGGCTGTTTAAATTTAGCATGCTGAGAAAGACCAATCTTAAAATATTGTTTGGCTCTATGCCTGTAACATTTTCATTTTATTCCTTGTTAGTGTTTGTCTTCTGTGATAAAGAAGACAAGCGAGAGTAATCATGTAAGTCTCTGTAACACTTCACGTTCTACCTAAATGAACCATTTTGTTTTTATCCTAACCAGTTAAAGATGGCCTTTTACTTTCTGGCAAATTTTCAGAAAATGATTAAGCAAGAACCAGTGATATTTCCAATTACTTTTTTACCTCTTTAGTCAGCATCTGGCCTTTCTCCCCAACTTTCCTTTGAATCATTGTTTTTCCACTTTTAAAAAGAGTATGTAAAAGAGATTATCTGATGACAAGCATAATCTTTTTCTAATAAGACCTTACAACTATTTAAAGAGATGTTTTGAGTCTGTACTTCATCTGTGACTAAAGATCTCTACCCCACACACAGCCCAAAGAGTTTATTATTTAGTGTCCCTCAGGACAAAGAATGTGGACATCTTTTCTTTTCTTTTTATACCCCTCTGTGTTTGGATCTTCCAACTTTTCTCCATATTAAGTGCATTCCCTTCCTTCCTGGCAACATCCTCACGTTCATTTCCAGGGCCTGTGCAGCCAAAGCAGAGCCTGAAACTGGAATGGTGAGTATGCCAAGTTTGGATCTGGGGTCGATGCAGGTAGATTCCAGTTTAGGTGGACCTTATCTTATGTATCATGAGCAAAGGAAGAGTTCTCAAGCACTACTCATCCACGGCATCCACAAAATCATATGCTTACCCTCCACTCTGATCCATGGTAGAGTACCATTTTAATTTTTTTTTTTTTTTTTTAAGTAGCAAAGCAATTAAGAATTAGAGTGAGTCACACCTAGTGGTTAACTCTAACCCAGCATTCACCAAACATTGTTGCTTTCAGAAATTTGTTTATTCCTATTGTTTGAGTTTTGCTAAAGGGGAGAAAAGGCCATCTCCCTCTTGCAGCTATTATACTGTAAATGAGAAGCCGTATTTAAAGCTCTTGACCCAGTACCTGCAACCACTGTACTCAGAATAACCACCACTGCTCATTCATTGTGTGATGAACAAAGCACATGAGAAAATAATCCAGGGCTATCAGGTAGTTGAACCTACTTCATAGTCAATACCCAAGGTATTGACTATGGTATTGGGACATACCAGACGCAACTCACTTGGTTAGAATTTGCGTTAGTGTTTTACGAGAGAGAGAAAACGTTATTGCTCGGAAAGAGGTAATAGGAATAGGCTTCTTCAGAATTTTTCCTGGAGTTTGCTCTGGGCAAGTGCTCCTTGGCCGGAGGTATTACTCTTAAGAGAATACTGCAACAGTGGCGTGCGTATATAAATACAGCTCTGTTCCTAAAGGCAGTCAGGAGAAGCATCCAGGAAAAGATCATCTCAAAGTGTCATTTCAAGCCTATCCATTACATCACAGTTTAATTAGAAGGCAGATTTTGATTTAGTGATCAGGAGCTATCTTTGTCTGGCTTGTATGGCTACAACTCTCCCTTCTCTCAATAGTGTGCAAGAAAAAGCATCATAGGGTACTACTCACAGGATACCAGTCCAGGCACCATCCCAGCAAACTTACCAATGATTTTAACTGAAATTTTAAAAACAATTTAAATAACTGTTTTATTTCACAAATGATTGTGACAATCTTCTTTCCAGTCATAACATGAGCTTTGCTTATGAGTAGGACAAGGAAGTAGGAAGCAAAGGCATTGCCACCAGTCAACTCCAACTACGGAACTTTCTATATTTAAAGAAATTTTGCCAAATTTTTATCAGTGCTCTTAGCCTAATTTTCCTCCTCTTTAACTACATACAGAGTTCAGGTAATGATAGTCTACTGTAAAGAATCAAGGAACTGCTTGTGAATGTGCTCCAACCATATTCTTCTATTCCTTATAGAGACTTTTCTTTTTCTCATTGCTATCAAAAATTTTTAATCACCCTCATGTATGCACTACTGTAGCAAATATATCCCGTGAGTTACATTTTACTCAGTGATTCACAAAGTCACATGTAGACTTTATGCACAGGGATACTATGTACATGTGTGGAATGGATCGCCTATAACAAATTGGGAACTCCTTTAATGACAAAAAAATATTAAGTACGCCTTTATATCTGGAGATCACATGATGAGTAGAAAATTAGTCAACACAATTCCAATGCCATTCTTGACATGTTTTATTTTTGGTAAAAGCACGAAGATTTGGTGGATTAGAGAAAGAGTAACACAATTTAAAACTGAAATTACAGCATAAGAGTAGTCCCTATTTACCTCTTTTCTAAAGACAGAGGATTTCAGAATTACTGTGCTTTTCACAATAGTTATTTCATAAATTTTGAAGCCTTCTTATCCTATGGAATTTATGCAAGACTATGGAAGTAGCCAGCTTAAAATCCCAGATTCTCTTTTAGGTAATTTCTGTTTTGTCAATAATCTTTCTTGGACAAAAATGTACTAACATGGTGTTTTCTCCAATGATCCTCCAACTAAGTCTAACATTTTTGTGTAATGTATCCTTTCTGCTTGAAGGAATTTTTCTCCCCAACCCCCAACTATAAAAATCTGGTCAATGCAAGAGGACCTGGTTTGGTACCCCAACCTTTTTAGACTAATTATTTCTGATTCCTATTCTAGAAAAGACCTTCAGTATTCTGCTGGCATTCCTGTTTCTTTGGTCATTTGCTTCACAATGGACTGGCCCTTGCTGACCTGTTTTTAAAGGAGTTGGTTATCTGCAATTTGACCAACCAGTTGAAGTTGTTTTTTTAAAAGTTTTAAGCCTTCCTTTTCTGCCAGGGAACACAATGCCACTTGGTTTCTAAGTATAGAGCCGTTTATGTAAAAATCACCACTTTAAAATCACAAGAAAGAGACTGTTCAGCAAGTGGAGGAGATTATTGTAGCAGGAGGAAACTAAGGGAACCCTCCATGTAGCACCCACTAAAGACTATTTGAATGTTTATCATATCATCAGTGTGGCTTAGGCTGTTTCCTAGCAGTTATCTAGAGACCCACTTCACGTTTTATTTTAATAAGGTAAATCAAAGACTTCTGTTTGCTTGCTTGTTTAGTTCACGGATTAAGAATAAATCTGGGCTGGAACTTGTAACAATTAACTAGGGCATTTGAAAGTCTAAAGCCACCTCTTTATGAATTTCCTTTTGAAAAGAAAGCTGCTATCTCATTGGTAACTTTCAGGAAACCAGTCTTGGAATTAAATAAGAAAACATTCACCAGTTGTGTTGCCTAAAATTACAATGGACAGGGCACTTTCTGCATAGCTAACGCACAAGCGGCATCTGCCAGCAAATCACAGAGCACCCCTACAATCGCATAACTAGGACAGGAGTCAGGGAGACGAACCGATTTAACATTTCATGGAGAATTCAGAGCTACGCTTTTCTAACTTTCCTCCCCATTTCTTATCAGCTTCCCTTCCCCCGTACCATGTACCCAGAAGCCACTCCATTTGCCAACCATGTCCAGTTTAACTTACTGCAGTGCGATGCAGGCTAAAGCTGGGCGCATCTCTGAAGCTAGAGCCACTGCTTTTCCGGAGAGGAACTGGGACTAGCCAGCTCTCAGGATCCTTTCCAATTCACACGCTCCCCGCTCAGTGAGAAGGCTCCCACACAGCTCGGCTTCCCCAGAGGAGCGGAGCTTCAAGAACTCTGCTCACAGCATCCTCCTCCCCACTGCCGCCCCCTTCCAGAACACCCGGCCCATTGGAACTACTGTCTGAAAGATGGAAATCTACTTCCCGGCGACACCACAGGCTGCCTGCAGTTCACCCGTCTCTGATCATTTGCAACTCAAAAACAGCGGAGGCTGAAAGACGTAGGTTTCCGGAGCCGAAAGTCATCTTTAGCATCCCCATTCCCCACCTCTCACTCCTCCCACTTCATCCCCGCTCCTCTGTCGCGGCCACCTCCAGTCCTCCAGTCTCCCACTCAAGCTAGCGATCACAAACGATTATTTTATCAGCCAAACCAACAAGCAGCGGAAGGAAACAATTTGTCAGAGATGAAATACCTGTTGTCCGTGACTAACGCTCTTCTCTCGTCTCTCTTAGTCCTTAGGTCAAGACGCGGTGATATTGGAAGTGTGCAGTGTGTGTGTGTGTGTGTGTGTGTGGTGAGGAGGAGGCGATCTGCACGGCTGCAAGCACCAGCCCTGCCTATCCCTGGCTGCCGCTTCTCCAGTTGCTGTTGCTACTCTTTGCTGATGGAGCTCTGGGAAAAATGAGACAGGGAGACAAGGCTATACAGCTGTTTAACTGCTGGTCCAGTTATGAGACAGGGGAGGAGACAGGGCAGGTGAGTGGCTGTTGAGACACTGAGCTGGATTCACTGCAATTGCTACCATTCAGTAGACATCTCAGGCAGGAATTATGATACCTGTCTCCCCTCTCCCTTCTACATCTATAGTCCTTGATGGGTCATTGGTGAGCAACCATCTGCCTAACCCACTTCTACCAGTTGTAGCAGCTGCAGAGGCTCTTGCTGCATTCTGAATGGGTAACCTCCAGGCAGGCGACTGGAGGATGTGTGAGGATAAGGTAGAAAGGCAGTTAAATATTGAGGGAAACTCTATGTATGTGTAACCAATCAGGGCACAGATAAAAATGACAATTTTGAGCCACGCATGTAAAATAGTGTATTAGAGTAAGAAACATGCAAGTCGATAATCAAGATTCTTGTAGAATGTGTACAAAACCAGGTAGTTATTGAACAGTGTGCTTACCAGCTTAAACACAGGTATCTTGATTGCTTTTACCTTCTCTATATAATATTCTCAGTGATTTTAATGCATTAACAGCTCTCTGTCAGTTACAGACTCCGGTGAAACCAACTTGTTTCTGTCTTCTCTTAACTCTCATTTGCTCTCCTCATCGGCTCTTTACTCTCTGCTCTCATTAATCTCCAACATATTCTCACCAAAAAAATGACATTCGGCAGAACTTAGAAATAAAAGACGTTCTCAAATCTCCCAAAGACTGGAATACTTTCTAATTACTAGTAACATTTGCTTTTGTAATACTCTGTCTGCATTTTCTTGTTCTGTAGATTGGGTAATCACGCACCACCCCTCCTAAATACACACATGCACATATAAAATCCACTTAACTGAATATTAGTTTTAATACACTTTCAGCCTCCACTTATGTGAGCTAAAAATAAACTTAATTCCTTTTGATTTTATTTGTAATGCACACCTTTAATTATTTCAGCCTCTGAGTACTTTTCATATTGGCCATATTTTATCCCAGTTCTTAGGGCTTGTATAATCAGGGTTAAACAGAGGGGAACACAGAAAAAAGAAAGTATCAGTAAAGACCCAGAAGGAAGAAAAGAACTCAAAAGGATTAAATAATATATCTTTTTCTGATGTGTTTATATTAGAAAATTACTGCCTTTAGCTAAACAAAGACCGATTAACGAGCAAAGCATTTATCAATTATCCAATAAACACCAATTTGCCAAAACCAGTCTAACTACAGTTTAAACAGATTTTATCAGTGGCTAAAATTATTTTTAAAAAATAATATAATGTCTTAAATATAAAGACTATCTACAACTTTTTGATGTCAAAATTCTAATTAAACATAATGCCAAATGGGCACTATTTTTGTCTCTTCATTTGTTGTTTATTAAATAATTAGATCACACAATTAATATTATTAACAGTCTGAAGAGTACCTTTTTTATACTTGTGTACACTGCAGAGTGAGTAAGTAGGCAAAAGCAGTCTCTACCCCACACAAATACATTTTGATACAAAAGGCCAACTCAATACACAAACGGTAAAATTTTAAACTTACCCTGTTCCACAAATTCATCCCTTACTATAACTAGCAGGATCTCACCATTTGTAGTTTAGCAAGGTTTTCTTTTTGTTTCTTTGGGTTTTATTTGTGTTTTTAACCTTTACTCCTATTTTGAAATTAAAACATATTTAGGGAAAGCACTAACTCTTTAAACATTCTTGAGAGACATAATTTATTAGCTATCTTCATTATAAATATGCAGGAATCTAAACATCTGGTCTGGGTATAGATGGAAGAAACACAAGATGTTAAAATAATTGGTAATGAGTATTTAACATCTATCTTGATAGTTTAAAAAAAAAAAACAGCTTATAGCATTACTAAGATTTGCTTTAAGGAAAAAAACCTCTCTCTTGAAACTACAAGGTTTGGTGATGGAGGAAGAAAATACTCAGTTAAGGATTGATAATTGAATCTTACTCCCGACTCATAACTCAAGATTCTCCATATTGTGGGAAAAGTTACACATCACTCCTAACACTGAGCCCATTTCTCCAAGAGGCTTCTCTGTTCCCATCACTAGATTTTCAGAAACTTAATGGGAATCTGTTTATCATTCATCAATCTAAAAAATAAGTAACAGAAAAATGAATCTGCTCTGTAAACACTCATTAATCAACCTGGTCATCAATTTGTGAAAATATATACAAACAAATCATTAATTTTCATCTAAATATTCTTCATCATCAAAACAAGTATTCCCACACTATATTCTGTAATTTAATGATACTCATTTACTGAAGAGAAGACAAAAGTTTGCAAACGGTACAATGGCAGAAGCCATGTTTGTTTAAGTCACTCATGTGTCTCTAGCATCTACTAAACTGCTTAGAATGTGGTATATGCACAGGAAAATGGCTTTTGAATAAATGAATTAATTAATTAATCTATGAGTACAGGGCATTGGGAAGATAAGACAGTTAGAAATAAAGGTGTTTGAATTCTTTTCATCTTTATTCTGCTGCTAAGTAACTGGCACTTTAAGGATGTGACTAACTTCTCAGGGTCTCTAAGTGTCCTTTTATGTGTGTCACTTACAGACTGCACAAAACTGCATGATAATGTCTCTCCTTAATATTCCTCCAAAATGAATTTTCTACTATACAAATTCAATCAATAAAATTATCCAGAATTTAATTTCCTGACCATTTTCAAGGGCCCATTTCATCCCTAAGAAATGCATAGTTCTCTCTCTCTACTCCTGGGTTGACTTCTAAATCCCTACCTCGTCTTGTGGTTACTGGACTACAGCCTTAAAGAAAACAGATTGCTGCACATTTACGTCTGCTTGTTTCTAAAATGTTAGTCTTATATCAAAGATTACAGGCAAGACAACTTTCATTTACGTTTCCTCACTCTTAATAAAGTAATTCTTAAACACAATAAATGAGAAACAGAGCTTAAATTGTGAAGTATCAGAAGTTACTGATGTTAGATATTGGAAATCTATCTTTTTGTGTAAGACAGAGTCTCGCTCTGTCTCCCAGAGTGGAGTGCAATGGGGTGATCTCGGCTGACTGCAACCTCCACCTACCAGGTTCAAGCAATTCTCCTGCCTCAGCCTCTTGAGTAGCTAGGATTACAGACATGTGCCACCACGCCAGGCTAATTTTTGTATTTTTAGTAGAGACGGGGTTTTGTCATGTTGCTCCGGCTGATCTCGAATTCCTAACCTTGTAATCTGCCTGCCTCAGCCTCCCAAAGTGCTGGGATTACAAGTGTGAGCCACCGTGGCTAGTCTCTAGAAATCCAGCATTAATCACAGTACTTTATGTATGAACTGGTACTTAAAAACTACTTTATCATGTTAATTTGATTTAACAAACATTTATTAAACATCTATTATCTGCAAAGCACTGGGGAAAAATGTAGTTCAACAGGATATAGCTTTGGCTTTTAAAAAATATATGATCCTATAAATAAAAGTATACTCATTTTAAATTTTTGATATAAGTATTTTCTGTTTCAAGAAAATTAAATTGCACAGTAATTTAAATCCTCATCAACTTTGGCTTTAATGATGAGAGGAGAGCTACTGCCTAAATTTAACGAAGTGTCACATGGGAACTTTTCCACTGTTTTTTTTGTTTGTTTGTTTGTTTGTTTGTTTTTTCTTGAGACGGAGTTTCGCTCTTGTTACCCAGGTTGGAGTGCAATGGCGTGATCTCAGCTTACCACAACCTCTGTCTCCTGGGTTCAAGCAATTCTCCTGCCTCAGCGTCCCAAGCAGCTGGGACTACAAGCATGCACCACCACGCCCAGCTAATTTTTTTATCTTTAGTAGAGATGGGGTTTCACCACGTTGACCCGGATGGTTTCAATCTCTTGACCTCATGATCCACCTGTCTCGGCCTCCCAAAGTGCTGGAATTATAGGCGTGAGCCACCGCACCTGGCCTCCACTGGTTTTAAATGAATGAATCAGTGGACATAAACTGGAAGGCTAGCGGAGCTTCACAAAACACACGATACTATTGCACTCCCCTTGAAAATAATCATGATCATAAAATCAGGGATTTGATAGGCCCTCAGATCTCTCTGAGTCCAATTCTCCTCTTTCACAGGAGAGAAAACTAACAAAGTAGATCACCATCATTTAATTCTGGGTAGGCCATATACAGATCTTTCCACGGACTTTCTGGCTTTGCCACAAAACAGACATGCTTCAATTCCCAGCTAGGCCAATTACTGGCTGTAAGACCTTGGGAAAATAATTTTTTCTACACCTTAGTTTCCTCACCTATAAAATGAGGATGCATATAGCACCTACCTCACAGAGTGGTTGAGAGAATCAAATGTCACATGTGAAGCACACAGCACAGTGCCTGGCAGCGTTCTACGTGTGCGTTTACATGTGTAGGGGGATGAACACACACACATATGCACGGGGGTAGTGGTTTCATAACCGTAGCACCTGTCTTCATTGAAACCATAATTCCTGAGGTTACTACTTAGGTATATTACTTTCAAATGAGTCTTATATCTTTATACATAAGTATGTAAC